GTTCGAGGCCAGCCTGGTCTATGGAGCAAGTTCCAGGAGAGCTAAGGCTACACAGAGAAACCCTGTCTCCAAAAAAAAAAAAAAGAAAGAAAAAGAAAAAACGGAAGGAAGGAAGGAAGGAAGGAAGGAAGGAAGGAAAGAAAAGCCCCTCCCAGCCACTCCAGCAGCAGAATGCTGCTCCAAGATAGATGAGCAAGAGGGGGCAGGAAGCCAATCAGAAGTGGTGGCCCATGCCTCTCATCTTAGCACTCTGGAAACCGAGGCAGGAGCATGGAGAGTCGAAAGCTAGATGAGCTACAAGACAAAAACCAAAAATAAGGTGGGAGGGAAAAAGGAGTCAGAAAAGTTGGCTTCCCAACATGCTAGTCATCCTCGCACAAGGGAGCGGCCCCTGCTCAAGAAGTTGTGGGCACCGAGTTCAAGGCAGGGCAGCGCCGTAGGCAGTAATTCTGAGGAATAAGCATGAAGATGAAGGGCAAAAAGGGCCTTACCCAGGCCACCATCTGGCTCTCACTCCAGGTACTGGGACAAAGGGCTTGTTGCATCCAGTCTTTGTTAAAAGGCCTAAGAGGCCAGTGAGGCACCAAAGGTGGACTCCAGGCACCCTTTGGTGAATGCATTCTCCTCTCTGCCAGAAAGGATCATCTCTGTTGGGACCCTGAAAGGATGTGAGGGCCTATTGCCAAGGAGACACGGGGCTCTCCCACCCCATCAGGAAGGGCCGAGAAAGAGAAGTTTGCTCCTTTCCAGAATGGCCCCTCGAAGGCCCAGCCCAGGGGGAAAGGCCCCACTTGGCCTTGGAATCACATTGGAGCTCCGTTGCTATAGTAACAGAATTTCTGTGAGATTTTTTTTTTTTTCCAACAGTGGTAGCACAGAAAACCTGAGTCATGGGCTCCTAGGAGCCCACGGGAGGGGGCGTGTCTATCTTCCAGCTTCACCAACTGTGGTGACTCAGAAGGTCTCCTAACCCTCAACCCCCTTCCTGGGCTTAGCAGCTTGCCAGATTATCTTTCCTTGTTCAAAATAAGCATCCTTCACAACCCATCTCATTTAGGATGGGGGCTTAGCTTAGAATCCTACAGGAGTTCACTCCAGCCACCCACCCCAAAGTCTACTCAATCCTCAAAACTATGCCATTCCAGCCAAGAATGGGGAACTCTTAGCCATCCCACAAAGCCCTGCCTCACCCACCACTCCTCAGCCAGCCACCCTAGAAATGATGGGGACAAGATCCTTTTAAAGCATGCTCAGGGGTTAGAACCCAACATGTGAATCAGGTTGAGCAGTGTGGGGAGACACAGCATGGGGTGTGTCTTGAGCCAGCAAGGTCTTGTGAGGATCAGGAGACCCTCCCCCCAATCCAGTGTAAGGTACTGCTCACTCTGATCTCCACCTCCAAGGAACAGAGCCTGGCCCCAAGTACCTCTGTTTTACAGATGGGAAATTGAGGCCGGGGAGCAGGAAGCAGCTCCGCAGGGGTGATTCACAAACCCAGATTGAGCCGTCCCTCCCCCTATTCCTGGCTAGCAGTTCCCAACACGTGTTTCCGAAGCCCAGCCCCGCCTCCCTGCCACGCAGGCCTGCCCAAAATGGCCTCCCCGGCACACCCACCCAGCAGCTCACCCCAAAAAGCACCGGGAGGAGTTGGCTGACATGGAAATGAGACTCGAACACCGACACACGAGGGCAGAAGATATCTAACCATGACCCCAAATTCCCTTCAGAGTCTCATCCCTTCAGCTCCAATTTCCGCCCCCTCTTGCCCCATCAGCGTGAATCATGCACAATCATGACACCCTCAGAGAATGGTACCTGCCCAGGCTCGCAAAACACACCCTCTAGCTCCTTCCTGGCCCCAAGGGCCTAAGTCACCTGTTTCAGCCCAACCTTCCCCAGGGCAGTAAGTCTTGGACACAGCTCAGGAGAGAGCCAGTCTCTCTATGCTAGGGAGTCCCTGGAATCTGCAGGGTTCCCTTCAGTCCCAAATCCCAGATATGCAGGACTCTCTGCACCTCCCTGCCTCGGGGACTTTGCACAGGCTGTGCCCTCTGCCTACAAGGCCAGTTCATACACTTGATGCCTGTTAATTTCTATTCACTCTCCTGGGGCAGACCCCTGACCCTGATAATCTAGTACCCTGGTCCTGTACCCCCAATCTTTTGCTTTACATGCCAGTCACGTCCCCAAGAGACATTTACTATCTCTTGTATCTCAGTGTTTGCTAAACAGGTGGGAACTCTGACCCCCTTCACCCAGCAATGTGAAACAAGAGAATGACATGCACTGGAGTGTGTGTGTGTGTGTGTGTGTGTGTGTGTGTGTGTGTGTGTGTGTGTGTAATGAGAGAACATTCTGGAAGTGTGTGTGTGTGTGTGTGTGTGTGTGTGTGTGTGTGTGTGTGTGTGTGTGTGTAAAATGAGAGAACATTCTGGAATCAAATACATCCAGTTCTGAATGTTGCTGATTTACTGTGTAACCTAAAGCAAATGGCTGCACCTTTCTGAGCCTTAATTCAGCCAAATTCAGGCAGGCCCCACCCAGGGCTTAGCCCTCTGCATTGGGGGAGGGAGGTCTTCTTCGCCACAGACTCGGCTTCCATCCAGCTATCTCCAAAGCCTGGGTCCAATTTCCCACCCAAGGAAGCGAGATCTCACAAGCCCCTGCCAGCAAGCAGCTAAGACCCTTTGGCAAAGAAGTAGGGGGTACGCCAGAAAGGAGGCGCCTACTTGTGGCACGCCCATGCGGGTCGGAAATGGCCTGCCAGCCTGCTGGAGGCCCTGGATGGGGACAGATTCAGTTGCAAACTGAATTGTTCCCAGCCAGGCGCCTTGGGGACCGGTTCACTCGAGGGTAGAGGCTTCTGGAGGGAGCTGGACACTCGCAAGGCCGAGTGCCGGACCATGAGGCGTGCACCGGAGGGCAGGGAAGGTCCCTGGCGCGCAGCCACCCGCGCCACGCCGCCCGCCAGCCGGGGTGCGAAGGAAGAGCCAGGCGGCTGCACTCCGCGCCTCCGCACAGGACCCTGGACCAGGGACGATGCCTGGGGAGTTGAGGGTGGCTCCTCCGCAGAGGGACCCGCCTAAGCCGATCCCCTCCCCCAGCTCCGCCGCATCTGGTTTTCCCATCTGCAGAGCCCTAGCAGGACAAAGGGGACGAGGGAGGGCCCAGCCGAGGCGACCCGCCCCCCTGCTCACAAAGGCCGCGGCCCGGAGCGCCAGGCTTTGGCAAGGGGAGGCGGGGTGGGGGAGGGGCAGCCCCTGCGGACATTCCCCCTCCCCCGTACCAGGGCCGACCCCGCCCCGCACACCCCGCCGCGATCAAAAGCCCCGCCAACCCCCACCATCTCGCCAGGAAAGGCAGGAAGAGCAGGAGTTACTGTCCCCTAGCCCTCCAGCCAAACGCCCTAGGAACAGGAGAAAGGGTGCACGAGGAAATGGACAAGGGGGAACCCTTCCTTCCCAAGACCTGAGGTAGCCCGTCCTAGGGGGTCAGCTCACGAATGGGGACAACCTAGATTGGGAAGAGAGGACAGAGAAGATCTAAGCAAAGTCTAGGGAGCTCCACGCCCCCAGCCAGGGGTGGGGGAGGTGGACAGTATTGCTTTAGGATGTGCTAGGCCGCACCCCACGTCACCTCCTCCCCGCAGAAGAAGCGCACGTCCCAGACACGGGGTGGTAGCACATGCCTTTAATCCCAGCACTCAAGAGACAGAGGCAGGAGGATTTCTGCGAGTTCGAGGCCAGCCTGGTCTACAGAGCGAGTTCCACAATAGCCAGGGCTACATAGTGAGAGCCGGTCTTTCAAAACAGAAGCCCACCTCCCCAAGGCGGGGCATAGAGGCCTGTACGCCTAACGGGAGCGCATGGGGAGATCGGGAAACAGAAGGATGCATGAGTGGGGGGATGCTTTTGTGCAGTTTATCGGGACCCAAGAAGGGGACATGTCCCCAACTCACCCTGGCGCGTGGACACGTTCCTCTCGTTGGCCGCCTGCAGCACCACCTGAGCGCAGCTCTGTTCCAAGGCGAAGAGCTCGTCTTTGCCCACCTTGGTGGCCTTGCCAGCCTTGAGGGTGCCACTGGGCCCGGACGGGGCTAGGTAGCGACCTTCGCAGTCGCGAAAGGCCACCTTGCCAGAGCGAAACTCGAGCGTGTAGCCCGTGGCGGGCTCGGGCCTCGCCACAAGGCGCCCATCGTGGCGCAGGAAGCGGTGGTCCGACGTCTGCACGCTGTAGCGCTGGTCCTGGAAAGCCAAGGTGATGAGCGAGTCGACGCCCCAAGGCACGTCGCGGTCTACCGCGATCTCGTCCGCTGGTCGCGCGCTCAGATGCGCGTAGCGCTTGCGGGTGACGCTGTAGATGTTGACCTGTGGGTGCATGGCAATGTGCACGCTCCACTTCTCTGCCGGCGACACGCTCTGCGCGAAGCACGACAGGCGGTCCTCGGTGCCGCCGAAGTAGCGCCGGTGCGCCTCGGACTGCAGCGACCAGCGGCCGTCGTCGTGCGCCACGACGAGGAAGCGGCAGTCAGCGCCGGGCACCTCGCGCTCGCAGCTCACATTGCCGTCCTTGTCGGCGGCCAGATAGCGACCCAGGTGGCTGCGCAGACACACAGCCGCGCTGCCCGCCTCATCAGGAGGCTGCTCCAGCGTCCAAATCTGCTTCTTCTTCAAGCTACTGGCGGATGCGTTCACCTTGAAGCCGAACGCCTCGGCCGTCAGGTACTTGTTGCCGCAGCTGATCAGCCCAAACTGGATCTGCACCGCCTCGGCTGTGCCGTTGGCGGTCATGGTGGCAGAGGGCGGCCCGGTAGCCCCGGGAGCTTGGGTGGCTGTGCCGGACCTCCTTTGTTAAGCACGGCTTAACCCGCTGCAGCGCTCCACAAAGCCAGCCCGGCGGCGCTCTGGATTTTATATGCGTGTGACGTCACTTTGTTAGGCCACGCCTCCCGCCGTCCTGCCAGGGGAGGGGGCTCTGCAGCGCGCTCCTGGGCCGCTGCGATTCTCCTGCGGGTTTTTCTGGGTTTTAAGACAGGGTCTCACTCTGTAGCCCAGACTGGCCTTGAAGCCGTTGTGTGGCTCAGGCTGGACTCGAACTCTTAGCAATCCTTCTGCCTCTGGCTCATGCGTGTTGGCTAGTCCATTTAACTGCTCCTCCACTGTCGTTCTCTGCAGTATTTGGCTGATCTGCAACTTTCTCTTGCTCTCTGAGGCCACCCTGGAGGACCCCAACCCCAAACATGGCAGATGGGAAGGATCAGCCAGGTTTAAGGTAATGATGCGTTCCGGATGGAGGGAGGGGTCCAGGGTGCACCAGGAAGTAGCCTTAGAGCTGTTCCTTCAAAAGGCCAGAGACACCAGAAGGCACCGGCTGGAAACAGAGGAGCCTGGGATAGAACAGAGGTTGGACTCCAGGGAGGAGCATACAGAGCCCTACCCGCCCACCTTAGGGTTTCTCGAAGGACTTGCAGCCTGCGCCTCCTGAGCAGGACCTGAGGTTTCTATTCCAGGGCCAGCTTAGAGTACAGCCACCCTACTGACTCTACATAAACCGTGGTGATTGTGGCCCAAGTCAGTGACCAATGTCCCCACTCTGGTGATTCTCAAGCCCTGGGGTGCTGGTTGACCAGGAAGCAGGGTAGGTAAGGTAAGAATTGCAGTCTCTATTTATGAGGAAGATCAGAAAAGCAGGACAACTCCCTCACATGGCACAGCCCCAGTGTAACTAACTTCAGACCCTTATGGTTACATACCAGAGGGACATTCCCACCAAACACCACCTCCCACCACCCACCACCCCATGTAAGAACACTTCCCTTGAGTTTCTGGAAGGCTGAGAGACCTTTAGGACATTCCCCACATGCCAGACAGGCCCCTGGAATGCTGGCCCTACCACAGGCTGCCCACAAGATCTGGGCCCTCTGGCCCTGCCCAGCCACAGGCTGACCAGTCCTCAGGGTGATCTGTGTCCAAACAGATCCCTGTCCCAGGCAATTCCCTCCAGGGACCATCAAAGAGAAAGAGTAGGTGGCATGGCCTGCCCATCATCAAAGGTCAGTTCAGAAAAGCCCCTAGCACCCTTGCTGGAAAATCCCTTAGAGGTCACAGAAAAGTTCACCAAGGACTAGGTTGATTCCCAGTCACCCTCTCTGGCTGTGTGACTTTGGGCAGATTCCTCTTCTGTAGTAAAGATATATAGTCCTGGGTACAGTGACTCACACATGCAATCCCAGAACTTGCGGGGGGGGGGGGGGGGGGGGGGGGGGGCAGAGGCAGGAGGATTGCTACAAGTTCAAGGCCAGCCTTGGGGGAGCAAGTCAGAAGACTGAAAGCATTAACACCCAAAAACATATACTGAGGAGCGCCTGGAAGTGGTACTCTGTTCAAACCTGTTCAACCCAGGAGCATCTCGGGCAGACCTGGACAAGTTAGCCTCATTACACATCAGGCAGTTAAGCCGATGCCTGATATGTGTCAGGGCTCCATAAATGTTAGCTATTGATTAGTCACTCACCATCACGTCAGGACATGGGTGCATTCACTGACCATCCCAGGCTTTAGGCTCAAGTCATGGGGGATGGCTGGGCGTGGTGGCACAAACCTCAGCACACTGGAGGATCAGGAGTACAAGGTCTTCCTAGGCTACTAGGTTACATAATGAACTCTAGGTCAGCCTGAACTATATGAAACCTTGCCTCAAAAACCCAAGTTGGGGGCTGGAGAGATGGCTCAGTGGTTAAGAGCACTGGCTGCTCTTCCAGAGGACCTGGGTTCAATTCCCAGCATCCACATGGCAGTTCACAACTGTCTGTAACTCCAGTTCCAGGGGACCTGACACCCTCACATATAAAAATAAAATTAAATATTTTTTTAAAAACAGGTTAATTAAACAAACAAACCAAAGTTGGGAGCTATAGCGAAGGCTCGGCAGGTAAAGGCACTCACCAACCAAGGCTGAAGATCTGAATTCAGTCTCCAGGACACTCATGGTAGAAGGAGAAAACCAACCCCCTCAGGTTGTCCTCTGACACTCCCCCCATGCACTGTGGTACCCAAATGCCCCTGCCAACACATACATACATGCATACACATGTAAATAAAAAAAGGTCTTGGAATGGCTCAATCAGCAAAATGATGATTGTGCATGCATAAGGACAAGTTTAGGCCTAGCAGTGACCCACACCTTTAATCGCAACACTCAGGAGGCAGAGGCAGGTGGATCTCTGTGAATTTGAAGCCAGTCCTGTCTACAGAGTGAGTTCCAGGACAGCCAGGGCTACACAGAGAAACCCTGTCTCGAAAAATAAAATAAGTAAATCTTTTAAGAATTTTAATAAGATGGAGGAACCAGCAAGATGTCTCTGCAGGTAAAGGTCCTTGTCTCCAAGCCTGAAGACCTGAATTGGATCCTCAAGACCCAGACAGTGGAAGGAGAGAACTGAATGCCATGAATTGCCCTCTGACCTCCACACACATCCTGTGGCAAGCAGTGCCCACAGACACTCATACACACAAAAATAAAAATAAGATGGAGAGCAATTCATAAAGATACCCAACACCAACATCTGGCCTACACTCATATGCACACACACGTACACACATTCACAGTCTCACACACATGTGCACACACACACACACACACACACACACACATACACACACACAGAGTGGGAAGGAAACCACACAGGGGACGCTTGGGTTTCCTCTTAGAACAGGTCCAGGTCCAGCTCTCAGAATAGAGGCTTAAATGTTGGGGGAAGTCCTTCTGGCTCTGGGTGAGGTCATCTGTGGAGAATTGAGGTTCATTTCAGCAGAGCCAAAGCCGTCATTGTTATTATTTCATGTGTCACCATTGGGAACAGACAATACATCTACAGCTGCATAGTTCCAATATAAATGAGGAAACAACCTTCACCGCTGTGCTCCCACCCCACCCTCTCACCACCAGATACAGATCTTGCTTGTGTTTTTCTTTAAATGGAGACAAGCAAACATGGATATATATTCAACTCCATTGATGGTTTTGTTTGTTTTGTGATATTTTCAATGAAAGTCATGACCTTGCGCATGTTAGGTGAGCAGTCTGTTACTGACCCACACTCCAACCCCTCACTGGGGGATTCTAGGCAGGTGCTCTACCACTGAGCCACACCCCAGCCCCTCACTGGGGGATTTTAGGCAGGTGTTCTACCACTGAGCCACACCCCAGTCCCTCACTGGGGGATTCTAGGCAGGTGCTCTACCACTGAGCCACACCCCAGCCCCTCACTGCGGGAGTCTAAGCAAGCACTCTGCAGCTGAGTTACTACCTCATGCTGTTTTGCTTCTTTGATTTGGTTTTATGAGAAAGGCTCTCATACAACCCCTGGTCTCCTCTCCTCAGCCTCCCAGTGCTAGGATTATAGGTAAGCACCACCTCACCCAGCTGTGTGGTTGCTGGTTTTGACTTTTCTTTTCTCCTCCTCTTCTTCTATTTTTTTTTTAACAGAGTTTTGCTGTATACCCTTGGCTGGCCTCAAACTCACAGACCAAAGGTGTGTGCCACCATGCCTGGCCATACGAATTTTTTTCCTTGGGTTCCAGGGATGGAATTCAGGTCCTTGTGTTTGTACTGTAAGTACTTACTGTCTCTTCAGCTCCACTTTAACTTCACATGTCTTACTACTCATTCTTTGTCAAAAAGTCGCTTCCTCATTCCTTTTCAATACAGCATAATATTCAGACAAATACCATTAGCTTGTTTGAACCAGACACCCCACACACACAATTTATCCTTAAATCACCAACCCCAATGTTTTTCACTTTTCTTTGCCTAGATCTGTGCCAAATACACACATGCACACGCGCACGCACACGCAGGAGCACAGCTGTATGTTTTCAGATTGAATGCCTCTGCCCCTGGTGACAGGAAGGGCCCTTCTGCTCTGAGCTAATGTGGGTGACACATAAGCATTTGCTCTAGATATGGTGAAGGCTTGGGGGTGAGGTCCCCCTGGTAAGCTCCTGGGATGGAGGATGTCCTTGCAGACTGAGAATTCTGCAGCTGGCTGGATCTTGTAACGGTTGAGCTGGGCTGTTATTATTGTTGCTGCTGTCTCGCTGTTGTAGGCAAGCTCAGTAAGAGCCACCCTGAGCTTGTCCTGCTCCACACCTTGCCTTCCCCAAGTGTCCCTGCCCTGGCACCCTTGTGTCCTGCAAGGGATGAGCTAGACCTGTACACATCACGAGGTCTTCTCTTTAGCCCTACCTCAGGTCCCTCTGGGGAAAAATGGGGACATGGACACTGTGTCCCTGGGCCACATGGGGACCCAAGTGCCACCTGATCCTTGCTGGGATGAGGGCACAGCACAAAACAGAAGTACTTAGAGGAGGCCAAGCCTAAGTCTCTCCTGGCCAGATGCCATGCCCTGCACTTGCTCTAGACAAGAATTAAGGCCACAGGGACAGGCTGCCCTGCTCCCTGATGCCTGCCTTATACTTAGTTCCCTAAGGGAGGATTCTTGGGGAGGTCCCCAGAATCCCAAAGATCCCCTAGGACTGCCACTGCAAAGCAGGGACCTCCAAAGGGCCCAGCAGTGACTCCCTAGGCTGCACAGCGCCCATCTCCCATGTTGTCACAAGATTTTTTTTTTTTTACGTTTCTTTGTGACAGAATCTATGTAGCCCAAGCTAGCCTCAAATTTACTGTGTAGCTGAGTATGACTTCCCAAGTGCTGAGATGACAGGCATGCATCACCTCACCCAGCTCCCTCGAGGTTCCAGGCTGTAGTTTGAAGGGCACCCACTTACCACCCCAACTTTGCTGTCTCTCACCTCCTGGCTTTCCTGGAAATCTCATTCACACTTTCCCTGGAGCTCCCAGGGAGGGAGCAAGACTCGGTCATTACACAGAGGCTGTCACTGGGACTGCTCACAGCTGCGTGTGATCTTGTCCTAGCTGAACCTCAGTTTTCCTGCTCTTACTGGGATATCAGTGCTGGGCAGCTAGCTGTTGGGAGGCTGAGGCAGGAAGATTGCCAGCTACCACATGAGACCTTTGCTCAAACACACAAACAAACTGGGGTGACAGCACAGACCTGAAATCCCAGCACCCGATAGGCAGAGGCAAGAAACTGAGACATTCAAAGCAGGCCTTGGCTATTCTGTGCGTTGAAGGCCAGCCTTGGCTACCTGAGACCCTATTTCAAAAGAGCAAGTAATACAGCCATCGAGGTGGCTCAACAGGTAGAAGTTGCCGCCAGGTTTGACAACCTCAGTTCCTGGAACCCACAGGGTAGAGGGAGAGAACTGACTCCCACAAGCTGTCCTCTGACCTCCACATATGAGCACCATGGCACACACGCCCACACACATACACATAAAAGTAAACAAGAATGTAAAAAGAAAGCATATTGAAAACAGCTGAGGATGTGGCTCAGTTGGTAGTGAAATCCTGGTTCCACCCAAAGAACCTCATAAACCAGGCATGCAGTGCAAACCTGTGATTCCAGCCCTTGAGGTGGAGAGAGGAAGGTCTAGAGTTCAAGAAAATCTGCTTGTGTTACATTCTTTTATGCTGTATTTTTTAACTCTGTGAGCCTGTGTTACTTTGCCTGTCTAAAACACCTAATGGTGTAATAAAGAACTGAGTAGTCAAAAAAAAAAGAAAGGAAGGAAGGAAGAAAGAAAAAAGAAAAGGATCTGCTATGAAGTGTGTTAAGGCCACTGGGGCTACATGAAAGCCTACCCCAGGTAGCTAGCTAGTAGATAGATAGATAGATAGATAGATAGATAGATACATACATACATACATACATACATACATACATACATACATACATAGATATTAATGATAGATTATAGATAGATAGATATAGATTAATAAATGATAGATGATAGATAGATAGATACATACATACATACATACATACATACATAGATACATAGATAGATACATAGATAGATACATAGATATTAATGATAGATTATAGATAGATAGATATAAATTAATAAATGATAGATGAGAGATAGATAGATAGATAGATAGATAGATAGATAGATAGATAGATAGATAGATAGATAGATAGATAGAGATTAATAAACGATAGATGAGAGAGAGAGAAAGAAACCATGCACACACACACATAGATCACTGTAGCTGGCCAGACAGCTCAGAACTAGCTTCCCTGCAAACCACACAGCCGTCTGCGGTTCAAGCCCTCAATAAAGGGGCAGCCTCGTGAACCAGAGGCCATGAATAGCCTCTTTGTGGCTCTGTGGTCACCTGCTCCAAGGGCCCCTCAAGGCAGCCTGGTACCACTGGCGCCTCTTGCCCATCAGAGTCTAGTAAGTGGGAGGAGCCAACTCTAGGAGCTGCGTTCTGACTGGCTGAGTCCCTTGCTGGGCTTTGCCCCCAGGCCCTGAGCCATTCTGGGCCTGCTCCCTCTGAGCAGGGCAAGCCAGGCTGTCACCTACCATTGCTTTGTCTGTCAACAACCGAGATACTCTTTGCCTTCAACGAAACTGAGGCCTGGACACAACAAACAGGATCTGGCCCAGAATTTTCGGGCCTGGTGGCTCTTAAAAAATATGGGTTTGGGGAGCTGCATATGTGCTTCAGCAGTGAAGCATACTGTCTGCCCTTCTCGAGGACCCAAGTTAACTTCTCAGAGCCCTCAAGGTGGCTCACAAGCTTCTGGAATGCCAGTTCCAGGGAATTCAATGCTGTATTCTGATATCCAAGGGTACCAGGTACGCATGCGACACACAGACATACATGCGGGCAAAGTACCCGTACTCATAAAATAAATTAAATTTAACAAAATATGGTTTTGTTTTTGTTATTGTTTTTGCTTGCTGTGGTGTGTGTGTGTGTGTGTGTGTGTGTGTGTGTGTGTGTGTGCATGTGTGTGGGTTGCACACCTTTGTCCGTGCATGTGGAGGCCAGAGCTCAGCCTTGAGTGTCCTTCCTCAGGATATCTGCTGACATTTATTTAGACAGGGATGTTTCCCCAAAGCTAGAGCTCACAGACTAGACTAGACAAGCTAATGAACCCCAGAGATTCATTCATCTGCCTCTGCTTACCCAGTGCTGGGATTACAAGCACATTTAGCCACACCCAGCTTCCTCCTCCCCCCACCACAGGGTTTCTCTGTGTAACAGCCCTCTGGCTGTCCTGGAACTTTCTCTGTAGACCAGCCTGGCCTGGAACTCACAGAGATCCACCTGCCTCTGCCTCCTGAGTGCTGGGATAAAAGGCCCATAGGTTCTTACTATTGCTCAGCAAGCATTTTACTGGCCATCTCACAGCCCCTGGTATGGTCTTTTTTAGACAGTCTCATGTAACCCAAGTTGGCCTTAAACCTGCTTCAGCCTCCTAAGTGCTGGGATGATAGGTATGAGCCACCATAGCCGACTTTCTTAGCAGAATTGAATAGACAAATTGTGACCTTCCACCTGGATCCTACAATGTCCCCCTCCAAGGTAGGCACCAAACCTGCCCAGTGGCCCCAATTAGAGTCATGAGACTGTCCCAACCAAGAATGTGATCACCATGAAAGTCCATACCAGCTGGCATACCTGTCATTCCAGTACTCAGGAGACTGAGACAGGGGGATAAGAAGGAAGCCAGCCAGAGCATGTCACAAGATGAGTCCGAGAGGGGATGGGGAAGAGGCTTAGTTAGTGGAGTGCTTACCTCGCATTCATGAAGCCCCGGGTTCCATACCCAGCACTACATAAACCAGGAGTGATGCGTGCCTGTCATCCCAGAACTTGGAGTTCTAGGTCATCCTTGGCTAGCCTGGACTACATGAGACCCTGTCTTAAAAATAAATAAGGAAGCCAGGCAGTAGTGGTCCATGCCTTTAATCCCAGCACTCAGGAGGCAGAGACAGGTGGATCTCTGAGTGCAAGGCCAGCCTGGTCTACAGAGTGAGTTCCAGGACAGCCAGGGCAACATAGAAATCTTGTCTCAAAAAAACAAATACATATATATATATATATATATATATATATGAAAAAGATATATATATCTAATATATATATATATGTATGTATTAGAAAAAGAGATAGAGGCCAAAGGGTGGAGGCAGCCTACAAAAGATTCCTGAAATCTTTTTTGCTTTATGTTTGTTGAGACAGGGTCTCCTATCTCAGGCTAGCTTCCAAGTCTTGATCCTCCTGCCTCCACATCCCCAGGGCTGACAGCACAAGTTGTATCACCATGTCCAGCATTTTGTTGTTCTCATTGTTGTTTTTTTTCTTGTTTGTTTGTTTTTTTGGTTTTTTGTTTGTTTGTTTTTCAAGACAGGGTTTCTCTGTGTAGTTTTGTGCCTTTCCTGGAACTCACTTTGTAGACCTGGCTGGTCTTGAACTCACAGAAATTCACCTGCCTCTGCCTCCCAAGTGCTGGGATTACTCATTGTTGTTTTTAAGATTTATTTTTAGGGGTTGAAGATTTAGCTCAGTAGTAGAGTGCTTGCCTAGCAAGCGCAAGGCCCTGGGTTTGATCCTCAGCTCTGGGGAAAAAAAGACAAAAAAGATTTATTTTTATTTATGAGACGTGTGTGTGTGCGCGCATGTATGTGTGGGGGTGGGGGTGGGTGTGTGTGTGGGGTGTGCACATGCAGTGAAGATGCCTCAGAATCCAGAAGAGGCTATTGGAGCGCCTGGAACTGGAGTGAACAGTTGTGAACCACCAAGTTGTAGCTGCTGGGTTTCAAACTCAGGTCCTCTGCAAGAGTAGCAAGTGCTCTTAACCACTGAGACATCTTTCCCAGTCCCTCCAGTATTTTCTGGGAAGTGTGTAGAGATAGGATTTAGCCCAGGCTGACCTCAAATTCTCAGCAATCCCCCTGCCTCAAGTTCTAGGATTGCAGGTGTTCCTCATCATGCACAATTTCCATGTTGCACTTCCTGAGGGAGAAACCTGGGCTGGCCCCAGGAGTCAACCTTGAGCCCAGCTCCCCTGGAGGATGAACAAAACACCTGGCTATCCACCCTCCCCATCTGGCCAGAGCAGCTCAGGATCCAAGGTGAATTCTTTAAAACAAGCCAATGGTGGCCGGTGCTTGGCAAGAATCTGGCTAATTAAGAGGGCATTAGTATCATGGGCAGAGCCAAGCTCATGCCAAGATATCTCTGCCAGAAGAGGGGCCACTGACTGATGCCAGGTCTTGGCCTTGCCTGCCTGGCAGCCAACCCAGTCTACCCCCTGAGAGAGCTTCAGGGTTCCCCTTCTGGTGAGCTGGGACCCAGTGTCTGACCTCAGGCCCCATCTGTCCTTCGAAGTGCTTGGACCTCAGACAACTGCCCCCTAAGCTGGGGCAGCAGAGCCAGCTTCCAGAACCCTGCCTCATGGTTTTCCTAATACAATAAACTCCAAACACTCGTCCCATGTTCAAGAGAGAAAAACAGCCAGGCATGGTGGCACTCACCTGTAATTCCAGCACCCTCATGCTGAGGCAGCAGTATTACCAAGAGTTTGAGGGGCTAAAGGGATAGCTCAGCGATGCTTAAGAGCATTTCCCGCCAGGTGGTGGTGGTGCACACCTTTAATCCCAGCACTCGGGAGGCAGAGGCAGATCTTTGTGAATTTGAGGCCATCCTGGTCTACAAAGTGAGTTCTAGGACAGCTACGGCAGGTACACAGAGAAACCCTGTCTTAACAAACTAAAAAAAGAAAGAAAGAAAAGGTGTATATATGTAATAAAGTATTTTAAAAAAAAAGAATATTTTTGGGACATGCAGTGGTGGTGCACACCTTTAATCCCAGCATTCGGGAGGCAGAGGAAGGCCAATCTCTGAGTTCAAGGTCAGCCTGTTCTACCGAAGGAGTTTCAGAACAGCCAGGGTTACATGAAAAAAAAAACAAAAACAAAAACAAACAAAAACCAAACATAGAACTGGTGGTTCTTACAGAGGAACCAAGCTTGGAGCCCAATATCCACATCTCTGCCTGTAACTGCAGCTCCGGGAAACTTAACACCCACCAGCTCTCCACAGCCTAGGCATCACTTCTCAAGGCATCCATGTGGAGGTCAGACCACAGCCAGCCAGGCAGCATCATCACCTGTACAAAGGTTTCCCAATTTACAGGAAAGTAATGAGCAGGCCATCTGGTGTCTGCCCTGTCAGCATCCCTGGGTTACTAAGGGAACTCCCCTTTCTGCCTTGAGAGCTGAAATTAATGACACAGAAAAGTCCAATTTTGCTGGCTAAATGGGAAGACAAGGAATTATAGCTAGAAACAAAAAAAACCCCAAGTAGGGGATCCCCAGGGTTGGGTAACTAGAATGTAGTTAGGAAAGAACCCTAGAATGTTCTCTTACACCCTGTCTTTGATATATTTGACAAATAGCTTTAGGGCCTGAGATGCCTTCCTGGACTTCAGACATGATATCTCCCTGACTTTACCTAAACCAGGCCCTTCAAAGTTTGTATTTATTTATTTTTTATTTATTTGTTGGTTTTTTGTGTTTTGTTATGTTTTGTTTCGGGGAGGAGAGGTTTGAAACAGGGTTTCTCTGTGTAACTTGCTTTGTAAATCAGGCTGACCTCGAACTCACAGAGGTCTGCCTGCCTCTGCCTCCCGAGTGCTGGGGTTAAAGGCATGTACCACTACACCAGGGTGCAGCATTGACCTCTTAATCCTCCTGCCTTCACCTCCTGAGTGCTAGGATTACAAATAGGCACTACCACATCTTTCTCTCAAAATACTGTGACATATTCCACTTCTCAGTTGCTCTCATACCACCTTGTAATCAACACAGCAGAGCTCAGTGACCTCCAGATGGATGAGGATGTCTCATCCCCAGCCAGTGAGTCAATGCCTCAACTTGACACTAAATGCATGAATTCCATTGGGTTTCATCATTGATATTTATTGTCATTCTGCAGTTTTGTTGGTTTGATTTGTTGTTGGGTTTTTTTTGTTTGTTTGTTTGGGTTTTTTGTTTGTTTGTTTTTTGAGACAGGGTTTCTCTGTGTAGCTTTGTGCCTTTCCTGGAACTTGCTTTGTAGACCAGGCTGGACTTAAACTCACAGAGATCCGCCTGCCTCTGCCTTCCAAGTGCTGGGATTAAAGGCATGCGCCACCAACGCCCGGCTGTTGTTGGTTTTTTGTTTTGGTTTTTCTTTGTCTTTTTGAGACAGGGTTGCTCTGTGTAGCCCTAGCTGTCCTGGAATCCACTCTGTAGACCAGGCCGGCCTGGAACTCACAGAGATCCAGCTGCCTCTGCCTCCCAAGTGCTGGATTAAAGGTGTGTGCACTTTTAATTTGTTGTTTTAATCTGTCTGTGCGTGTGTGCATGTGTGTGTATCTAAGTGCATCCCACTGTATTCAAGCAGAAGACAATTTTTTTCAGGAGTCAGTTTTCACCTTCCATCTTTTTTTTTTTTTTTTTTTTTAGCATCTGTCTTGTTTCCGCTGCTTTGGATGCTTCAGACTAGCCACGAGCACGGTTCTTGATGGTGAGTCTCCTGCCCTCCCTCCCTCCCTCCCATCTCACTTTAGGCATCCTCCAATTACAGCTGTACACCATGGAATCCAGCTTTTCTACATGGCTTCCAGGGATGGAACCCAGGCTGTCAGGTCTGAGTGTCAAATTCTTTTCCTGCTAAGTCATCTCACAAGCCCAGGGTTTTTGAGACAGTCTCATACTAAACCAGACTGACCGCAAACTCAAAATGACCCTTCTGCTTAGTGCCCTAGGTGCTGAGCCACCACCTTTGGCTTGTTTTGGAAACAGGGTTTCTCTGTGAAGCCCAGGTTAGCCTTGAACTCTATCTTCTTGACTCAGCTTCTGGAAATGCTGGGGTTACAAACACATGCTACCGTGGCTTTTTTTGTTTGTTTGTTTGGACAGGGAAGGTCTGTTGTATCCCAAATTGGCCTTGAACTCACTAAGTAACAGAGGCTAGCCTTAATTGTGTACTGTCACACCCAGTTTCATACAATGCTGGGGATCAAACCTGGGCCTCAAGCATGCTGCCAACTGAGTTACTCCCCAGCCCTTAATTTCAGTTTCTTTGTGTGGAAGTGTGCATGTGTGCATGGAGAGATCAAAGGCTGACTGCACTGTCATTCCACAGGTGTGCAACCCTACCACGCTGTGTAGTCCATCGAGCCAGTGAGTCTAAATCCAAGAGATCTGCTGGTCTCTGTTCTCCAGTGTGTGTGTGTGTGTGTGTGTGTGTGTGTGTGTGTGTGTGTGTGTGGTGTGTGTGTATGTGAGAGAGGGTTAGGAAAAAGGCTAAGCAAAGGAGATTAGATTTAAGGTTCTTGTTTAAAAAAAAGAAAAGAAAAAGACAATTACTAGTTTTAAATACTTTACATTGGATTGGATTGTTTTATATTGTATACAAATTATATATATTGAAATTGATATTGTTAGAAAATGCTATATGTATATTTCTAATTGTACTTATATCGTTCATTTAACAATGTAATGCAATTTTCTGATCCTTGAATGTTATTATTACCAACTATTAGGATATAAAGAAATGAAAGTTAGTAGTTAGACATTATAATAGAACTTGTAGTCATATTAGGTATGTTTTAAAAATTGACCAGATACATTTTAGATAGACAGGTCATCTTCAAACCGTTCAGAGATCTACAGAATATGGCATTTAAAATGTTTTAATAACTTAGAAAATGTTTCTTTTTTGTTATGACTATGAGACATGTCGACTCCTGGCAGTACCAATCTACTTCAGAGAAAATATGGGCATTGAAGAAACTGCATATGGAGTTAACTTTCATTGTGGCAAAAGTTAGCCACTGGAATCAACAGGACAAAATGGACAGACAGGACACGAAACAAAGGACTACTGATTCTTGCCAAAACAAGTGTGGTTATGGCTTTATCAAAAGACATCTTCTGAGGCCAGGACAATATGGCACCATCCCTGAAGTGGCCTTTGCAATCCGGAAAAGGTACAGTGCCCTTCTCTTTGAAGGCAGCTAAACAGGCAGTGGGCCGATGGCTTCTGATGTGCAATGGAACAACAGCTCAAACAGTTATTCTTGAAGAGTAACTAAGCTCACGCCTCTCAATAGTAGACTGGCATTTGATGGAGGGATATGGAGAAGAATGGGATGCTGAGATGAAGCCGCGTATACACAGCCAAGAAGAATGGACAGCTGAATTAAAAAAACATCAACAATTTCCAGAATTTAAAATCCTGAATCATAGCCGGGCGGTGGTGGCGCACGCCTTTAATCCCAGCACTCGGGAGGCAGAGCCAGGCGGATCTCTGTGAGTTCGAGGCCAGCCTGGGCTACCAAGTGAGTTCTAGGAAAAGGCGCAAAGCTACACAGAGAAACCCTGTCTCAAAAAACAAAAAAAACAAACAAACAAACAAAAAAATCCTGAATCATGACAGAACACTAGTGGAATTCAGGTGTTTCTGGTACATGGACTGCTCTCACCCAATGTGAGGTTGAACTGTTGACCTTGTTTACATTCTACTTCACAAATGAGTCTGTCAGATACGCAAAGCCTATAGACTGAAGATGATGCCCCAACATTTCGGAGAAACCTCAGATGATTGTCCAGGCAGCTGGCTGTTTCTGTCAACTCACAAATTTTTTTGGAAGTTGCTTGCACGCACTTCCTGTTTTTATTTTTTATTAGGTAATATTATTTTCCTTCTTGGATCTCTGAGGAAGTTGAAGATTAGTTAGTTATAGTTGAAGGCTAGTTAGGATAAAAAGTGAATTAGGTACATTTTGGACTTACCAAAATAGGATAGATAATGGAATTATTTTCTCTGAATTTGTCAAATACAAATGGACTAGACATTGTTTAGGTATTTATTACTTGTATATATTGCATATAGTTATTGCACTTTTGTATATAGTTTTTCTTATGTTAGTTATAACCTTTTTCCTTTTTTCTTTTTATTAAAATAGAAAAGGGGAAATATGGTGGTATTTTATTTGTACTGAAATGTGATTTTAATTGTATGTTAATAAATAAAGTTGCCCGGGGGTCAGAGCTATTAGAACCATAGCAAAAGCTGGGCGTTGGTGGTGCACGCCTTTAATCCCAGCACTTGGTAGGCAGAGCTAGGTAGATCTCTGTGTGTTCAAGGATACAGCCAGCATTGGAGACACATGCCTTTAATCTCAATACCAACCATAGAAGACCTGGAGGTCTATACAGATAGGCAGTGACGAGGTAGTCATGTGGTTGGTTTTACAACCAATGAGAAGGCAGAACAGAAAGTCTATATAAAGACAAACAGACAGGAAGTAGGTCTCTTTCGGAGAGGTCTCTTGGCTGAAGAGGCTAGCTGCAGCAGGCAGGTAAGGCTCTTAGCTCTGATCTCTTGGCTTTCATCTTTGCATTGGCTCTGTGTTTCTTATTTAATAAGACGGTTGGTTACATCTACAGAGAAACAGAGAGCAGAACAACCTCTGTATATCTTGCTCAGTTACCTTCTATTTTATTTATTTATTTATTCTGTTTTTTTGAGACAGGGTTTCTCTGTGTAGCTTTGCTTCTTTCCTGGAACTCACTTTGTAGCCCAGGCTAGCCTTGAACTCACAGAGACCCGCCTGCCTCTGCTTCCTGAGTGCTGGGATTAAAGGTGTGTGCCACCACCGCCTGACTACTCTCTATTTATTTACTGAGCAGGATCTCTTTGCTGAACCTGGAGCTCACCAACTAGACCAGTCTAGCTAGCCAGTTTGCCTTGGGAAACCTTTGTCTCTACTCCCAAGTGCTGGGATTATAAATGGGCCACCATACCCATCTGGCATTTTATGTGGGTTCTGGGGACTCAAACCCATGTCCTCATGCTCAGACACAGCATTCTACCCACTGAGCTGCCTCTCCAGCCCTGAAGGTGCATGTTTGTTTGATTGTTTAAATGTTTTACTGTATATTGAGGTTTATTTATTTTATGTGTATGAGAGTTTTACTTGCATGTACCTCTATACACCACATGCCTGCCTGACAGCTGAGAAGATCAGAAAAGGGCATTGGATCTCTTAGGACTGGAGTTACAGCCAGGTGTGGTGGCGCACGCCTTTGATCCCAGCACTCAGGAGGCAGAGGCGCCGATCTCTGTGAGTTGGAGGCCAGCCTAGTCTACAGGGCAAGTTCCAGGACAGCAAGGGCTATACAGAAAAACCCTATCTTGAAAAACCAAACCAAAACAAAACTGGAGTCACTATGGATGGTTGTGAGCTGCCATGTAGGTACTGGGAACTGAACCCAGGTCTCCTGAAAGAGTATTAAAGACATCCACTCCAGGCAGTGGTGGTGCACACCTTTAATCTCAGCACTCAGGAGGCAGAGGCAGGTGGATCTCTGTGAGTTCGAGGCCAGCCTGGGCTACAAAGCAAGTTCCAGGACAGGTTCCAAAGCTACACAGAGAAACCCTATCTCAAAAAAACCAAAAAAAAAAAAAAAAAAAAAAGACATCCAGGTGTGGTGGTGCATGCCTGTAATCCCAGTTCTCAGGAGACTAAAGCAGGAGGAGCCTGAGTTTGAGGACTAGCCTGGGCTACACAGCAAGATCCTGTCTCCAATACATACACATGGAGAGCTGAGGAGATGGATCAATGGGTAAGAGCATTTGCTCTGCAAGCATGAAGATCTGAATTCAAATTTCTAGCTCTCATGTAAAATGACATGTGTGTCTGTGTATGCCTGTAACCCCAGCACGGGAAGATGGAGGCAAGTGGATCCTAGGTCAGACAATCTAGCTGAATCAATAAGCTTGTGGCTCAGTGAGAGACCCTTTTTCAAGGCAGCAAGTCAGAGAGCAATAGAAGGAGACACCTAATGTCTGGCCGCCACATGCACATACACAGATGTATGTACCCATACATTCAGTTACATGGAACACACACACACACACACACACACTGAATACAAAATATGTGAAGCCCATCAGGCATGGTGCTACAGGTCTTTTATCCCAGCTCTTGGGAGACAGAGGCAGGAGAATCTCATGAATTCTAGGACAGCCTGGGCTACACAGTGAGTTCCAGTCTAGCCTGGGTTACATAGTGAGAGTCTGTCTAAAAAAGGGGAAAGCTAGAGAGATGGTTCAACGGGTAAGAGCACTTACTGCTCTTGCAGAGGACCCGAGTTTGGTTCCCAGCCACCACATCCACTGCTCATAACCAGTGGTAACAGACACCAGCACACACACACACACACACACACACACACACACACACACACACACACACGAGGGGGGACGAACCAACCACCAGGTGGCTGGTGGATCTGTAGCCAGTGGGTGACCCCTCTATAACTCACGTGTGCTGGGGGATGGCACCTCCCAGGCCATCCAACTCAAGCCTTGCTGAGGGCACCCAGCCAGCCAGGGGCATGAGGTGAACAGCCAGACCTCCTGCAGTGGCCCAGGGAGCCAGATCAGCCTCAGGAAGTCCTGGCAGTGCTGACCGGAAACAGAATTGTTTGGTTTTTTGGACAGCCCTGCAATCCCAGCCAGCTGTTTCTTTTCATGTCCAGGGAAGTTTGGAAAGGAAGGCCTCTTCACCGGAAAGACCTGAAGTCTGAGCCCTGGCTCCCTCTTAATGAGATCTCCAGATCTTTGAAGGAGGTATGCTGGGGGCAAGGGGTTCACTCTGGGAGGAGGAACGGGGAGGATGGAGGAAAAATAGCAGTTGCTCAACTTAAGAAAAAGTATTATTGGGGGCTGGAGAGATGGCTCAGCAGTTAAGAGCACTGGCTGTTCTTCCAGAGGTCCTGAGTTCAATTCCCAGCAACCACATGTTGGCTCACAATGAGATCTGGTGACATCTGGTTCTCTCTTCTGGCCTGCGGGCATTCAGGCAGAGCACTGTATATATAATAAATCTTTTTTTAAAAAGTATTATTTTTATTTTTTATTTTATGTGTGTGGGTGCAAGTATGTCTGTGCACCACGTGTGCATCTAGTGTCCATAGAGGCCAGAGGAGGGCATCCCCTGGGCTGGAGTTACAGACAGTTATAAGCCACTATGTGGGTGCTGGAGATGAAAGCCAGGTAGTGCTCTTGACCCCTGAGCCATCTCTTCAGTTCCAGATGCTTAACTTTGGGCTCTGATTTCCTCCACCTCCGAAATTCTCACTTAGAGATGCCCTGGAGACCCCCAATAAGCAGCGGCAGACCCCTTCCCCCTCACAAGGGGACTATGCCTAGAGTGGGATGGGAGTTTAAGAACAAGTTAAAGGGCTGGGCAGATGACTCAGAGGTTAAGAGTGCTTAATGCTCTTCCAGAGGACCTGAGTTCAGTTCCCAAAACCCACATCAAGTGACACACCCCACCTGTAACTCCATCTCCATACAAAAAGATCTCTTTTGGCCTCCACAGGCAGTATACTCACATACATAGACCTATACACAGACACACAATACACACATAATTTAAAACAAGATAAAAAATAAAATCTTTTTAAAAAAAGCTTACTTGGGAAATAGCTCATTGGTAAAGCACTTGCCTAGCACACACAGGAACCCCGAGAGCCCTCCCTCCTCTTTCCTCTTTCTCCCTCCCTCCCTCTCTCCCTCCTTACCCCCACCTTCTGTCTCCCTCCTTCCCTCTTAGTCCCTCCTTCCATCCCTTCCTTCTCAGCACCTCACTTTGCAAGCCCAGGCTATCCTGAGACTGACAGTCCTCCAGTCTTAGCTTCCTTAGCACTGAAATCACAGGCATGTGTCATCATGCCTGCCTGAAAGCAGTTACGTTTGAGCAATGGTGCATCCTAGAGCCAGGAGGGGCGCCCTGGCTGGGGCAGGGGTCTTCAGGACCCCAACTTCAAAGCCATCATCTTATTCCAATGACTCTGGCAGAGGCTCCTGCCCTTCTGTCTCATGAGTCAAGTGCAAGGTAAGGGTATAAGAAACTGGAAGCTATCCCCTCAAGAGGGGGCAGACCCACACTGACTGTGGCTCCCAGCTGGCTGACACTGGTCTTTTATCTCTGGCCACAGGTTTAGTCTATTATCTGCAATGGAGGACAGTCCCATCCCTATCCCACTCCATTCCTCTAACACTAGCACTAGCCAGTTGTCAGGATCCCAGCCCCAGCCCCTTCTGATCCTGACAGGTCTGAAGTGACCATATCCTCCTCCAGGGGCAGACATGTTTCCTGGAGAGATGTGAAGGGACTGCCAATTGCCAATCACATGAACACAAAATGAAGGAAGAACCGGGATGTGGTTCAGTCAGTGAAGTGCTTGCCTAGTGTGCTGGAGGTCCTGGGTTCCAGCCCCACCACCCATATAAACCAGACTTGAAGACATAATTGTGAGTCCAGCATTGGGAAGAGGTAGAGTTATGAGTATCAGAATAAAGACCAGCCTAGCGTCCATAGGTTGCTTTGAGACCAGCCTGGGCTACATAAGACCTTGTCTCAAATTAAAAAAAAAAAGAAAGAAAGAAAGAAAGAAGAAATAATTAATAAAAAGGAAGCAAGAATCCACAGCAGAGTGTACACAGGGGTCTAGAATTACTTTCTGTGGTATTGGGGACTGTACTCAGGGCTTCCAAATAGGCAGGTGCTCTATCCCCAAGCCAGTTCTAACCCCTCACTGGGGGATTCTAGGCAGGTGCTCTACCACTGAGCCACACTCCCAGCCTTTTTTACTTTTTTTTTTCAAGATAGGGTTTCTCTGTGTAGCCCTGGCTGTTCTGGAACTCCCTTTGTAGACCAGATTGTCCTTGAATTCACAGAGATCAGCCTGCCTCTGCCTCTCAAGTTCTGGGATTAAAGGCACGTGCCACCACCTTCCAGCTTGCCTTTTTACTTTTTAAAAAAATAATTTTAATTTTTAAATTACTTATGTTTCTTATTTTTGTGTATGTGTTTATCTGTGTGAGTGTATGCCACATGTATGTGGGTACCTATGGTGACCAGAAGATGATATGAGATCCCCTGGAACTGGGGGGTCCAGGCAGTTGTAAGCCACCTGATGTGGATGCTGGGAAATGAACTCAGGTCTTCTGGAAGAGCAACAAGCACACTTAACTGTTGAGACATCTCTCTAACTCACTTGCCCAGACACACACATACATACATACATACATACATACATATATATATATATAAACGTAAACTTTACCCACTGAGCCATCTCCAAAGGCCCACCTTTTTCAAAGATACTTCAGGCTTCTCAATAAAGAAATAAACGTGGGCTTGATGGCACACGCCTTTAATTGTAGCACTCAGGAGGCAGAGGCAAGAGGATCTCTGTGAGTTCAATGCCAACCTGGTCTACATAGCAAGTCTCAGGACAGCTAGGACTACACTGAAAGACCCTGTCTCAAAAAACAAAAACAAGCCGGTGGTGGTGGCGCCAGCACTCGAGAGGCAGAGTCAGACG